TATATATACACATACATATATATACATATATATATACATATATATATATATATATATATATATATATATATATATATATATACACATGCATATATACACATGCATATATATATATACACATACACACACACTCATATATATATATGATTTTTTTTACTGGCCTAGAGATGGAAAGGCTTATTAAAGAAAATGAGCATCTCCCGCGTGCATTTGTCTTCCTATCGCTCTCTTTCCTGGCTCTCTTTCTCTCTCTCTCTTTCTTTCTACCACTCTCTTTCTTGCGCTCTCTCTCTCATTATTTCTTGATCTCTTGTTCACTCTCTGTCCCTCTTTCTTTCTCACTCTTTCTCTTGCTCACTCGCGCTTTCTTTCTCTCTCTCTCTCTCACGCTCTCTGTCTCGCTCTTTCTCTCTATCTCTCTCCTTATAAATGAGATAAAATATTGATTAGTCTTTCTGAGAACAATTCAATCTATGTATCTCCACAGTAACACGTTTGGTATAAATTTTAAAATCAACTTTTAAAAATGAGATATCTTCTTTTCAGCTTTCATTTTAGTTTTAGTTTCATGCCCCAAAATTAAATTTAATATTTCCAGTAAAAAAAATAATTTTTTTTTGTATTTTCAAAACGAAAATCTGAAGGGATTTTTCGTTTTGTAATCGCTAAATAGCTGGATTTGTCTCAAAATTAAGACATCTCTCATCGCGATATAATTCTCTTTTTTATCTTTCAAAAATAAAATATACATTACTGAAACATTATTTGAAGAATATTAGCTGATTTAAAGTTGAATTAATATTATTTCAAACAAATATTAAGTTTAAAATATCGCAGAAATGCATTTGACACCTTGACAGATTTATCTAATTATTTTACTGTGAAAATTTTCTGTAAAAATTACATGATGAACATAAAGTGAGCGCTATTTTAATATAATTTTTAACGACCCGGTCGTCTTAAAAATATTAGGAAAATATTCTCTGTCATATAAGGTTTTATTGAATAGTACGTACTTTGGCTTTATATTTACTATAATTATCTGCCTTATTTTCTGATAATTCCGATCAAAAATCCGAACTTTTATAGACGTACAAAAGAAATCAATTTTTTTAAAAATATTGATTTATTTATGATTAGTAAATAGAGTTTTATTTAATGTCAATATCACCCTAACCCTGCAAATTAATCCAGAAACTTTAAATGTTAAAAATTATTATAATTAAAATTAAAAGAAAAATGGAACCTTTCTTGTAAAAATTTAATATTCATCATCTTTTTTCTTCAGAAAATAGTGTACAAAATATATATTACTTATATAAGCAATTAAAAGCTTTACTAATTAAATAATGTTATAGTTTGATTACATTTTTTATTTTACGATTCAGGGCAGATTTTTTTTAACTAATATAAATATTAATCTCTATAAAATGTAATTTCTCGAAATATCCATAAAATTAAATAAGATTTTGCGTGTGTTTCTGGGGGTGGGGGCTACAGTTGTAAAACAAAATATTTTTACCAAGATTTTCTAAAAAAAAAAAATTCTAATATTTTGAATTTGTATTGAAAGTTTCATTAACGTCTGAAAATTATTTGATTTTTGTAAAAATTTAAAAAATCAACGTTTTTCCCACCAAAACAATTTCCTAGTTTCTTCTGTATGCCGTAGTCATTCATATTAATATTTGCTAAATGCTTATAATTAGAGTTAAAGTTTCGCTGGCCGACACTTGAGTTTGAACATAGATCGCCAGTGATCAAACTCAGGCGATCCCATTACTGAATTAAGTAGACCACGTGACCATAGAGGAAAAGCATAAATAGGAATTAGCTTTGCGTCTAATTGATCGCTATTTCTAGTCTATCCTCTATTACTATACGGACCGCTATTCTCCTCTCTATTCACTACACTATTTTATCTATTTGGATCACGATACGTATTATTATTCGGACGAGTATTATCGAGTCTTAACTATTGGTGAGTGTGATATATGAAGGCGTCTGCCAACAGCATTGTTCAACGGCGTACTATAGTTGTATATGCGATTACAAAGTCTCTAGTACAACGAGCATTACGAAAGTGACATCGAGTATTCGTTGGCATCACAAAAGTGGTAACGAGTGTTCGTTGGCATCACAAAAGATATATATTTTGTTATTAGGCCTAGTCGCATATATTCACCTTTTCATCCATTATTGAATTTACATCGGGCCTTTCCCAGTTTTTGTTTACATCAGCAATAATGAGAATCATGGCATAATGTTGTCTAGTTAACGAAAAACTGCCTTATCCCAACATAACCCTGCAGATATAGTAGCAAGGATGGTATAAGCTCATCTTATATGTGCTGTGTCCCCTCAGGACATTAGCGATGATGGATCCCTACAATTTCCTGTCCTTTGTAGCTCCTAAAAATGTTGTCTTTTTGTTGCCTTTCCTAAATCTTTTTGCGATATCCGTTTACTCATTTTCGCTAGGTAGGTTATGTGTTGTTTTCCAATCCCCCGCTTGTCTTTATTTTGCCCTGTGAGGATCTAAAATCAAAATATTTTGAAGAAGAAAAAATGATATCTAAATTGACATGGGTGACTATTGGTTGAATTCCCATTTTTCATATTGAACATTTATGCAAATTTCATTTTTATTATAGCTATACCACAACAGTATATAGGTGAAAATGGCTATCCACAGATTGGCTTTTGTTTCTATCTATCTATCTATCTATCTATTTATCTATCTATCTGGCTTCCAATGAAATTATCATGTTCGAAGTCATTTAATTACCTTTTTTCATACTAATACAAGAAATGCAATTCGGGAGATCACAAAGAACAATGTAAATGCATATATTCTTTAAATTGCGTCCAAGTCCTTGGTTTATCTGAAAAAAAAATCATTTGCTCACGTGTACATAATTAATGGCTAGTGCATATATATATATATATATATATATATATATATATATATATATATATATATATATATATATATATACAGAATGCGATGGGTAAATTGTCAAAGTGCAGATTTCTTAAAAGATTTCCTGCACTCGGTATGAACGTCGTCATTGTCATAGATTTTGTGGCCCACAAAACCTGGTGAAGGCATGAAAATCGTGGTTTTCAGCTCACAAACCCTCGTTGCTAGGCATCGCAGTTACACTTCGATTTGTAAAGATGTGTCAAATACTTTCTGTTTTTCAGTTGTTCATTTTTAATTTATTCTTTTTTCGACATTTAATTTTATATTTTATCCTTTTTTGAACTATATTGTTTCTTTTGCTTGGTTATTCTTTTAACACTAACGGAAATAATTATGTCTATCATCTTTCATTCGTTGTGGGAAAAATGCTTTCTTTTTTACTCTATGTAGGTGGGGTAATTTTTTCCATTTTTCTTTCATTCTATGAATAATATTTTCTTTTTTCTTTCATTCCATGTTGTGGGAACAATTCTTTCTTTCTTCCTTCATTCTATGTAGCTGTAATAAGTCTTCCTTTGTTTCATTCTATCGTTTGGGAATAATTATTTCCTTCTTTCATTCTATGTACTGGGGATAATTCTTTTCTGCTTTTACGACTACTTTTTTCTTAATTGATCTCTTTACTTTATATGTCTGTTTGGTTCAAAAGCAAAATCGAATAAACTAGCCCTTTGCATGAAACTTCCTTTATACATGCAGAAGCCAACACCATTTTAACCCCCACCGCCTCTTTCAAATCTTATTCTCACTCACTAATACTCTATCTCACTTATATAAATGTCATAATTTTTATTATACATACTTATTATACATATATCGTAATTTTTATTCACTTTGTTATAGAATCATTATTAATGACATCTGTATGACTTCATATCCAATTGAATGATACACTACTGCTATCAGAGATTTAGACAGAAATAAGAAACATATTATATATTATTTACATTATTTGGACTGTTATCCTCAATTTCATTGTCATATTCATAACGTTTCGGCCGTTGTACGCTCCTGCCTTCTTCAAGTGATTAGAATTTCGAACCGAACACTTTATTTCGTCCAGCGGAGTAGATTTTTATTCTTCTATGTGCCTTGGATACATGGCTCAGTGGATAAAGGCGTTGGTTAGGTCCAGTGACTAGACCCAAACAGTTGTGAGTTCAATACCAGGCTACAGCAGTGGTGAACCAAAACTTGGGGACTTGAGTTAAAGAGAAATAACTGAGACGTGGAACTAGAACAATCTACAACCGGTTGAAAAAAAATAAAGGGTTTGGTTCGAAATTCCAATTACCCGCCGAACGCCAGAACGTACAACGGTAGAAACGTTGTGAATATGTCAATGAAAATGAGGATAACAGTCCGAATAATGTAAATAATATAAGTAATCATAATGCCACATCTTAGCGATATATACAGGATAAAAACATATTGATTGATTTGGTTTTTACGGCTTATCAGCCCTTTACTGGTTATTTAAAGCCAGAAAATATTTTTAGATTGAAATAATTTTTTGGGAGGTAATATTTTCTAGTTACACATGTCTTACTAATTAACTCATAGCTGGTGAAGAAGTGGTGACCTCATAGCTAATCAGAATTTGATAAAAAAAGGAAATTATAATGTGGATATAAATTGAGTGATCAATTCTATATTACAATCGTTATATAAATTGATTCCTCACTTCGTGGCCAGAGTAGATTCTATACATTTATAGTCTCGAAAATGTAAATAAATCTAAGAGATGCCTGTGTAGTTTATCACTATTTCCTTGATTGAATGATTCATTTTCTACGGCTTATCAACCCTTTGCAGGTTATTTAAAGCCAGTAGATATTTTTAGATTGAAATAATTTTTTTTGGGGGGTGGGGTGATAAGAATTGTTTAGCGATATAAGTCTTACTAATTAACTTATAGCTGAGAGACGGAGAGGTGGATTCATACCTTTCCCAGGGATATTGACACCTGAGTGAATATAACGAACCCAACCATTATACTATCCGCTTATCCAAGCTTACAGCACCTGGTATTTACAAGCAGTTACCCATCTAGTTACTGACCAGGCTCGACGTTACTTAACTTCGGTGATCGTACGGGAAGCAATGTTTCCAACGAAGAAACATATACGAAATACACAACCAAAATGACAATTGTATGGTGATTGAAAAGTAATTCCATATTTTATGTATGGTGGACCGTCTTGTAAAAATTATAGTTTGATACGAGATTCCATCATAGATAAAATAAGGAGTTGTTTTTCAATCATCCTGTACATTAATATGAACATCAAAATCAAAAAGAATTTGTGTAGTATGCGCCTTTCATCTCTTCAAGTGTCATTAGATGTTTAGCAATCAGTGCAAGTGAACTCCAGATATCGCCACCTTCGTCATTTTTTCCTATTTTCAAGATTATGATGCTGACACTTGGCTATTTACTACGGTCTTATCGATTTCCCCCCTAAAAATGTTTAATGATTTTAAATCATGGACTCTCTTAAGGTCGACTTTTCCCCGACAATATAACTAAATGATATGAATGTTTTTCGTTCCTAACATAAATTTTTCCCTTCATCTTGCATTGTTTAATGAATTATTTCTGTTCAATTTAATCTGAAAATAATATCGATCATCTTTTTTAAAATATGGTTTTCAAATTTCCCTCTTTAAAATTCCCCAACCAACAAGATATTGTTTTCACCTAAATATTTACTCTAAGGAAACCAAACGATTTAAAGGTGTATTTCAAATGAAAAATATATAGCGCCAATCATTTGACAGCAGATGGTACTTTTATCACTTTTACTTTAACTGAGTTCAGACAGTGTGTATGTGAAATAATATGAAGTAAAGCCTTTAATAACGTTTAAAACATTATAACAACAGCTGTATTTTGCAGTCAGTGAAAAAAAAGGAAAAGTGCACCTCTCTAGGCGTACTTTGGTTATTTGCGAGTGTTTCTTTTATCGTTCCAAAACCTAAACACATTGAAATTTTCTTGGGGCAAATAAAAGTGTCCAATCTCAAAAAAAAAAAAAAAACATTTGAATGAAGCATTAACTGTTGTCGGTCGATAGAGGGTCCCCCTAGGGATTGACGACATTATTATGTTGCATTAAACAGAATCAGATGAGCTCTCAGCACTAAATGGGTTTTAAAACCCAGGTTTGAAATCTTGCCAGTTGGTAAAAATGGGTGGAACAAGAGTAGAAAAGAATGAACTCTGCAGCGACTACAACAAAATGATTTTTATATAAGGACAGAGTATTTTGTTCGCATCAACGAAGGCAATCGATAATGTTCCGTGTATGAAAGGTCATTAAGTATGTATTTACAAGTATAAGATAAACTTAAGGTAATGTTTCCTTTCTCACAACATAGCTATATATATATATATATATATATATATATATATATATATATATATATATATATATATATATATATATATAGGCATGTATGTATATATGTATATGTAAACAGTGGCGTATATCCACATGAGATTCAAATGATTTTAAAGATATTGGCCGACGCAGTTTGTCTCGAGGGGACCCGGGTAAGATTAAATAGCGAAAATGATTTAAATAAAAAAAAAAAAAAAAAACTCAATTTAATCTTTGCTCCATTTACTGTAAGCAGCAGATGTTGTCAAAAGCCTCGAAGTGTTAATGGGTATTTAATATCGTTTCTAAAATATCATTTCACAGCAAAAGCAACGCTTAAGATGTTTTATTTTCTTACACGAATCATCATTTTCAAGCAAATGCTGGCACAACCGCTTTTAGCAACGGAACTATCATCCGAGGAACCCATTTTAGAACCTATATAACATGCACGGGGACATTAGGTTAAGACGTAAGTAATTTCTGTCTTTATAATGATGAACGCACCATCCTAACCTAGTCCTTGGTATGACGATAAACTACCCCCTGCAGCAAAGTCGTGAGATTGGAGGTTTTAAGGAACGTAGAATAACCTCTTAAGTACTGTTGTTCCCAGGTGCACCGTAACATGGGGATAGGCCCCCATCTATGGGTAAATAGTGAACCCCCAAACTAAAAAAAAGAAAGTATAAAAATACATTTTTATAGTAAAAAATACAATCAGTATTATTTTATATAAAAATTACAATCAATATAAGATTTATAGCAAAAATTACGAACAATACATATAGTATATATAACAACAACACCTATTTACAGCAAATTGACTGAAATATATATTTTATAAGTAATTGAACGTATACAATTGCGTTCAAAATATACGTAGTTGAAGACATAAAAATTAAATTCAAATTATTTAGTGGCTGACATGCCTCTAAACAAAATCAACCAACAAAACACACAACATGAAAGAACTTATTATGACATTAGTTCATATAATATAATTTAAAAAAATAAAAAAACAACTTTATTACAAAATATAACTGCAGCTAAACTACGACATAAAACACACGTATCACCGCCTGTAGTAATCAGGTTCAAACAAACATATATATATATATATATATATATATGCACAAAGTTTATTATCCTTTAAGATTTAATTGTGAAAGAAAATATAATATTTTTATTACTTCAAACTCCTAAGAAAATAAAATTTCACCATTAAGGAGTGATATGCCATTAAACAAACAATCCAATCAAATTCTCCTAATTACTACTCCTACATGCCAGTTATTGATAGATTAATTTGTTTTCTACGGATTATAAAATCTCTTTTAATGGTAGTGGAAGGTAAAAATGGTTATCTACGACGATGCAAAGACAGCAGTTTCATTTTGAATTCGTTAAAATTTTCAAGCCATTCCTTGCCCCAGTTAACAACTGATTTGAGGGAGGTAATTTTCCATAGAAACTGTTACTTTCTTTTAAAAAGTAATTAGGAATTGCTAGCTAAACTTAATTTGTATGTGGAATATATTAGGGTAATTCGCAAAATTTACTAGGCATAAACTGTCTGCATGCAGATAGGAAACGAGTTAAGCAAGTACACAAAAATACAACAAGGAGACGTTTTCCCATCAGATTTATTTAACCTGTACAGCCAGACAAACTAAAGGAATTAGAAGACTTACTATTAATAATTGTATTGTTTCTTTCTGTGTACGAGAGTGGGTGATACTAGAACTGTGAAATCTTGCATTCATGAATTTCAACTCTTCTTATCAACAACTGCATTGTTTCTTTTCAGGTTGTGGGATGGACTGAAAAGATAATAAAAAAAGAAGAAAAAGTAGAAAGAAGAGAAGAAAGAAGAGAAAATACACCTGTATCTTAGTCTCCTTTCTATTCTTGTTTATCCCCTAAAATCTTTCTTTATTCGCATACTTTATTCGCATCATTTTACAGTGGACATAGTCAGACGTAACCGTAAGTTCTATGTTAACAGTTTCTTCTATCGCACTTCTTGCTTGTGTAATTCTCACCCGGTCTCTTGCCTGCCAGTATCTGTCTTCTTCAAATGCAATGCCAGTTATTATTTTTGTCTTCTTAATTCCTGTTCTCTCTACTTAATATATTTTCTTAAACTCTCTAAAACTCAATAGTTACTCGTGACTTAGCGGCTTTATTGTCTTGCTCTAATGAGATGATAAAAAATCCGGTTTCCTGTTTCTTTTTCCTCATTGCTAACCACTGGGCTATATCACCGTTAATTCATGATAACGAAAAAAAATAGTGAATCAAATTATTTATTTTTATTATATATGGAGTAAACTTTTTCCCATTTTCTTTGGTACACAAACGACTAGAAAGGAATATATATATATATATATATATATATATATTATTTAGGGGATTTGTATAATTTCATAAAAATTCATCCTGTCTAGAACTGGAATCCTCAACGCACACACATGCAGTTAAACAATGGACAGCAGTTTCGTCCTTTTGGGAAATCATTATGTCATTATATATAATGATATAACGATATTTATAACGACATATATATATATATATATATATATATATATATATATATATATATATATATATATATATATATATATATATATGATGGCTGCAAACTCGTATTCGAGCATTGTCACTGCTTGAATACCCGTAAAAGATCTCATCGACGAGCTGCTCTTAGGTGGCTTTTTATACACACACACACACACACACACAGAGAGACAGACAGACACGCACACACACACACACACACACACACACACATACATACATATATATATATATATATATATATATATATATATATATATATATATAATGTTGGATAAACAAATTGACATTTTTCGACTCAAAACAGCCAAGAGATATTTTCCATAATTTGAATATAAAACGCTTATAAAAAAAAGAACGAATCACACTTGAGTTCAGGTTTCTTTTTCGTTGGGTAGGAATAAAAATATCCGTTGTAAGATAAACAAAGAACGTCTATTGGAGATTGGCGTTTCGTAGTCAGGATTATAACAACGTGTATTAAGTTCTCTGAAATAGTTCCCAAGATGCAAGACAACTTTCGTATATTTAGGCTTCTGTTTTGTTTGTTCTTGGATTCAATTGCTAAGACGGGAAGAAAACGTTGGCGATAGAAAATTGGTCCAATCATTGAAGACAAGGAAACATAAGATAGTCTATCATCAAACTTATTGCAATAATAGCACAGATTATAGCCTCTCCATTTGTCCAAGAAAAAATAGCGTTTACAATGTTTACGGAAGCTGGTTCTCATATCCCACTTTACGTACTACTCGCATTTCTATCATCTACTTTTGCTACATTTGCATATCTTTGGGCGTTTTCCCCGCAGAATGGCAAAATTAGGAGTGGAGTAGTTTTGACTCACAGGATACACTAAATTTTAGGGGTTTCTCAAAAATACCTGAGAAATTCCATTGTAATAAAAAGCAAGAACCGGATTTAAAATGGCTGTAACTACTTAAAAAAAACATATCAAAATGGTATATCCATTCAGAATGTCGGGAATCATGTCTCTCCTCAGGTACCGTTTCTTTATTATCTTTAAATTGCCATGACGTAGAAAAAATAGTAAACGAGTAGATTCAATAGGAGCAGGCAGGTTCGCCGATTGCCCTCGCTCTCAGTAACCCCTTGCGTCTTAATAGCATTATCGCCTTGTTTGGAGTGA